CGTCAACATTCTCCATTTGGGAATGGAAAAATCATGCACTAAATATGTAGACTCCACAGGGTGAATGGCAATTAACAGAGGAGCTAAATATGCGAATTGAACTCGCACCACAACAAATGAAAGCCATACTTGAGAATGTAACTCTATTGCATGTTAAACGCATATGATGAAATGTACCTACAGTGAATGATTTGTAACTGAATGTAATCCTTTTGAAAAATTAAATAAAAACTTAAACAAGAAGAAAAGGAAATGCACCTATACAACCCATAATATTTTTACTGTATATAAATGACCCATGGTCGTAATATCTATCTCTTTCTCTATGTTGTACGTCACAGAGACATGAGCTTTTGCTAATAATGGGAGTTTAGAACTTGTTCCTTTTAGAATCTTCAGCAGACTATGCCAATACTAAGCAACATGTTTTTCTTGCGGGATACACCGCACTGAGATATTAAGCTGGTTTTTAAAAGTAACCAACCACATATTCAGATATGCAATGCAACTCAATTATATTAGGTAAGAATGAGATAAAGATTTCACTGTATGAAAATGTCAAGTGTTTTGCATTCAGTGACTCTATGCATATTTAGAGTTGAGTCAAATTTTATTTGTGCCTCTAGCTTATTGTAATTAGAGATCTGAAATAAACAATATTAACTTGTCCTGAGTAATTCTCTATATACCCTTTGTATATGTAGCACTTTAGAATGCATTTGTTGAGGTTTTTTGTTATTGTCTGTAGTGCTCCTTGAACGATGTTGGTTGCAAAGCCTGGTATTTTCCTTTAATGATTCATTCCTTGTTTAACCACAAGGCCGTGTCTACAGAATACTCCAGAATAAGTCCAGTTACTCAATATATCCATACAAATACAGTGCAACCCTGCTGGTGTGAAGTATGAGCGAGGCCCACTACATTTTATATCTGTCGCCTTTTGCCATCTCGCGACCTGGGAACCAAATTGCAAAACTCAGATTGAGACCGTCAAACAGTCTGAATTCGGTTAAAGATTTTTTTAATACAGATAATGTCTTTTGTCATTTGTTGGCATTTTTTGTTGTTGTGCACAATACACTCAAACACAGCACATCACATTACTGTGAATTTTGTTGCCTTTAAGCTGTGAAGCATCTACAAAACAGTACTGTGAATATTAATATATTGAGCCCCCCGATCATCTCAAACCTCCCACTGCGCAAATACAAAACTACTGCAAGGTATCACACTGAACTAAACTTTGGAAAAATCCAGGCAAAGTATTGTTATTTTTATGCAGACAAGACTCTGTCGGCACCAATTCTTCTATAAAAATATGTGTTACAAAATACCCAATGCCTAATAAGGAATATGCATAAGTAATCTATAGCAATTACTTCAGTATCTGAGGTTTCAGTACTGAGAATAAGATAGAATGTTCTCATCTCACTAATGACGTTGAGTTGTCCTAATGGCTTGGCTTTCAGAAAAAACACCACTTTATTTCACATTATGCTGCTTACCGAGTAAGCTTTTAAATGAATGCCACTATAGATAAAAATAAGATCTCTCTTTTGTCTTATTTGTATAATGGAACACACAAGAACACAACGCAGTCTTATTTTCAGAGGTCATTCTCCGTCAAAGTCAGATTTAATTGTCTTGTATGCCTTGGTTTAAAATTTAAATCTCACTTTTAATTCACTTTGTATTTTTGACATTTCATACCTTAGTGAAAAAGATGTTTAAGGTTTATTTTGTTTTGTTTTGTTTTTTTGTATCTCATCTATTTTTATCTATATTTTAACCATTCAAATTCCTAGAGGATATAAAACATCTTGACTTTGGCATTTTACTATGTTTAATTTAATTAGGGAATATTTTACGCTAGAACCCAGAGGCATTCCGTTTATTGTTGCTGCCTAAATTGAAATGACACATTTAATACAATTAACCACAATTTGTGCTAGAATTGGAGCTAGCACTGCCAATTATTCTATGCTAATATTGTTCCTTTAACTGCCCTAACAAGAACTTTCTTTGACTATTAACGGATTGTGCGTTTGAATTGTGCTATTCATAATGGACAAGGCTTAGTGAGGTTTATTTACTAAATTGGGATTTGTGAAGAATTGTAAATAAATTGCAGACTTTAGGTTAATATATACAAGGTGACAAAATAGCTGATTTGGTGAAGATTTCCATTTTAACAATTCTGGCCAAACATGTTATTCTCTTGTTGCTATTTCCTGTTTTGTACAGTAATCCTATTTTTTTTTTAAATCTGTTTTTGTTCAGACAGTCAATACAAACGTTAAGAAGATTTGCATTTTGGGACACGCAGGTCTCCTACATATCATCAGTTTGAGAGTACTATCCGCATCGTTTTGAGGTTATTGACCATTTCAATGATCAAAGCTGTGATTCGAGCCCCTGGTCCTTTTGGCTTGGTAGCCTAACCTTTTCCCTGCCCCTCATTCCGTACTCCTCCTGGGGGCACAGAGCATCCCTCTCCGAAGCTCGTGTCCATTCTCAGTTTGCGATTCTGCCCCATCTATTAGTTATATTTTGGGCTCGGAGCCTGCGCTGCTAATGCCTAGCGTTCTGTTGTCCCCATTAATTTATGTGCCGAGTCGATGTGTTCCCATGTCCTCGGTCTAATGGGGAAGCGGTTGTTGCTTTTATTTGGGGAGTTATGTAAGTGATATCTAGGATGGTCAAAAGTGGTGTTTCAAAGCTTGTAGGTATCTTCCCTTCTGCGTTTTGTAGTCTGTGTGTTATGTGTGTGTATGATATGTGCCCACTGGTGGTGGGAGGGTTCTGTTGTATATGTTTTGCATCAAATATATGATGTGGCGCGTTTTCGGTGGGAGGCAGTCCTCCCTTCTTTTCGTCAGATTTTCTCCAGTCTTTCCTAGTCAAGGTATGAGTGTGAGGGGAGTGGGGGCAGGTATGGGAGGGAGAGGAGGGAGATAGGGAGAAAAGAAGAGGAGATAGGACTAGGAGGGAACATTGTATGGTCCATACTAAGGGGGGGTCGGAGCCCACCCGCCACCCCCGGGGTCCCCCCGATTCTGCCGGTATCGGGATATATACATAAACCAGGGTTGCCACGTTTCTGCATGTTTGGTTTCCCTACCCGTCAGGGAGGCATGGAGCGCCTCTGCACCCTGAAAGCCCTCCACTCGCCTGATCCACTCCTCCTTCGTCGGGACCTCCATCTTTTTCCAGTGGGCCGGTATGGAGGCCTTAGCTGCGTTCAGCAGGTGGCGCATGATCGATTTTTTTGTAGCTTGATATCGAGTGTTGAGAGATATGTAGGAGTGTGAGTTCCACAGACCAGTCTGGGATTTCTCCCAGTACCAGGGATATCTCATTTTTTATCATTTCCCAGTACGAGGCTATGTCGCTACATTCCCACCAGATGTGTAGCAGTGTACCTCTTCCTGTTTGGCATCTCCAACACGTTGGTGGTTTTGTCGGGAAGATTCGATGTATCACAGTTGGCGTTGTATACCAGAAGGAAATCAGTTTATAGTTAACCTCCTGGTAGTGGGAGCTCATTGAACTCTTATGTTGCCACAGGAGCGCTTTGTCCCATTGTGGTGGTGTGAATGTTCTACCAAGCAATTCCTCCCACTGACTTCGGAATGCGTTATTGTCTGTTCGGCCATTTGTGACTAGATGTTGGGATAGCAAGGATACTGCGTGATCCAGTCCAGAGCCTCGTTCACAGAGCCCCTCGAACCACGTTAGCTCCCTATGTAATCGTTCTTTATGTGTGAGTGTAGTATAGTATTGCTTCAGTTGCATATACCGGAGTGTAGTGAGTGCGCTCCGTGATCTACCTTCCACCAACGTATCCAGATCTCGTAGCCCACCATCCCTTAGGGCCCTTCATATGGGAATATAGTCTCCGTCGCCAAGGAAGCTCCACGACCTGGCTGGCAATCCTCCGCCTATTCTGCTATTGTGCGTCACAGGGAGAAGGGGGCTGGGTGTTGGCAACGGGTATGCTGGTATTGCTGGTGTTGTGAGGGGTATGGTTTGCATGAGGTCTAGGACTGTAGGGAGCACATTCATTTTGAGCACTGCTATGCGCCCGTGCCAGGTTATGTTAGGGAGAGCCCATCTAGTCAGATCTGTCATTATGGATTGTAGTAGAGGTTGGAAATTATGCTCATTCAGTTGTCTGGGGTCTGTAGGCACCCAAATGCCCAGATATTTCATTTTGCCGTGACACCATCGAAACTCGAATTGTGATTCCAGGGCCATATATTCGTCAGTGGGCATCGTCAGGTTCAGTACTTCACATTTCGTCAGATTTAGCTTGAACCCGGACAAGTCACCGAAGCGTTCAAACTCTGCGAGGAGGTTTGGCAGAGTTAGGCGGAGGTGTTTGATGAAAAAAAGCAGATCATCTGCGTAAGCCGCGACTTTATGGGTCGCTCCCTGTCCCTCATAACCCCGAATGTCTGGATTCAGGCGAATCGCCTACAGGAGCGGTTCTAGAGACAGTTCGAACAACAGTGGGGAGAGTGGACATCCCTGTCGCGTTCCGTTTCTAATCTCAAAGTCGTCTGTCCGGGCCCCGTTGACCTTCACCGCTGCCCTCGGATTGCTGTATATGGTGGATATCCACGTTAGGAGCTTTTGTCCCAGTCCCATCTCCCTCAGCGTGGATGTCATATACTGCCAGTCTACTCGGTCGAATGCCTTCTCCGCGTCGGTTGATAGCAGCAGAAGGCGCTCTCCCACTCTCCTCGCCTGATGCTGGATGGAGAAGAGTCACAGGGTGCTATCTCTTGCCTCGCGCCCAGGTATGAAGCCCGTCTGTTCTGCATGGATCAGGGACGTGAGGAGAGGCTTCAGTCTGGTCGCGAGTACCTTCGTAAACAATTTTGTGTCAACATTTAGGAGGGATATTGGGCGATAGCAGCTGCAGTTCATTGGGTCTTTACCCGGTTTGAGTATTACGGTTATAGTCGTGGATAGGGATTCTGGTCCAAAGCTTCCACCGTCTGCCACAGCATTTAGAGCTTTTGTGAGCCATGGCAGGAGCCTTCCTGCAAATTTCATATAGTATTCTGTGGAAAAGCAGTCTGGTCCCGGTGCTTTTCCAAGTTTTGGTATTTTTTAGGGCCGCTGCCAGTTCCTCTGTGCTGATAGGTGCATCCAGGGCTGATGCTGAGTCCGGATTAACCATCTCCGTGACGTTATTGTGTAGGTAGTTGGTCATTGCTGTGGTTCTGTTCAGGCTACGATCGTTCCCTCCGGGTGCGGGGAGATTATAGAGGGCCTGGTAATAGTTCTTGAACTCCTCCGCTATCTCCTGTGGGAAGGGGGAGATGGTGCCCGATGCAAGACATAATTTACGTATCTGGGTGCAGGGCGCTGTGCCCTTCAGCAGGCGTGCCAGATATTTGCCCCCTTTGTTAGCATGGGCATAGAAAAAACCTTTTGAGTGTCGTAACGAGCGAAGGTGTTTTTTCAGTATTAGGTCCCTTAATGCTCTTCTGGCCTCTACAATTAAGGGTGAGGACAGACAGTGGTGCGCTGCGGTACGCCATCCTCTCCTATGGGCAGTTGGTCTTTTCCCACCGGTTCGGGTGTTTGGAGACCCCCGGTTCCACGGCGGCCGACCTCGAGCCCCACACCCCCGTCACGGTACAGTAATCCTATTATGTTACATATATATTATATTACTGGCTGTATATTAGACTTGCTGATCTGTTGATTTATGCATGCCTAGCAATTCGCAAAAAGCACACATGAAAAAAGACCAGCAGGTTAGTCTGTCTGTCTGATTGTATGTCTGTCTGTCTGTCTGTCTATCTATCTGAGCTGATTAGGTAAATTAATTGTTTGTATCTTAAAGCAATTTTCCACTATTTTTTTTTTGCGGGGGGTGGGGAGGTTCATGAAGACATTTGGCTCTCCTCATATACAAGGGTGAGTGTGTATACTTTTGATTTTATGCTAGCGCTCAACTTTAAATTTTAATATTTTCACTACAGATGTATTTATACTATCTATCATGTATCTGTCTCTCTGTATTCAGTATCTTACTGAACTCTCCTAATCTATCTTAAATTGATACATTTAGGGAAATTTAGAAGCCATTTGGTGCGTAATAAATGTCTACATTCTAACACATTGCAATTAATTCTGTCTTATTTTTTTGTAACAGACACCGAATTGCCTCGGGATGAGAGCCAAATTTGCCTTCTGAGTTCCTTTCTTCAATACCCAAGTTGGCTTTTTTTTCCCAATTTTTCCAATTTTGATCTCAGTAAATGACTCCAATAACACAGCTTTTTAAATGTGTGTCCTAGATGAATGGCTTAGTGATTTGCCTCTATTCCCTGTGCAATCTATCTTGTTAAGTTGAGCTAGTGCCTTTTATATATACAATGTTCAATGTTAGAAATGCTTTGCCCCTTTCTTCTGTCTTGGGAATGGCAATTTAAAGAGCCATTGCTATAGTGTAAATAAATGTATTTTTATTTTTACTTCCAAGTGTTAAAAGCTGCTAAAGTTATAAATCTTGCATTACGCTCAATTACTGTCATAGTCTTGACACCACCTAAAGTACACAAATTACCATATTGCGTTTTAATAATTGTTTTGTGTTTTTATTTTCTATTGTTATTTAGTACTTTAAAAATCCCACAAAAATAAGAGTTAACGAAACATTAAGCATTCATTTGTATTTCTCACTAGTAGTCATTATAATCAAAAAGCATTTTGTTTTGTTTTTAAAAATTGCAATAATTGACCAATTATATTTAGAACATCGAAAATAATTTCTATTTGACTGAGAACCAAGACAAGTAAAAACGCTGGTGGAGTTATTCACTAAACATTGAGTTGCAATGACTTAACCCCTTAAGGACCAAACCTCTGGAATAAAAGGGAATCATGATATGGCACACATGTCATGTGTCTTTAAGGGGTGTGATAAAGTGAAGGCAGATAGGCCTCTTAACCCCAGGGGAAGTACATGTAGTTTGTGTGTTGCACAACACAAAACTTTGTTTAGTTATGGGCCCCTGGGGTGGAGCATTTGGAGAGAAGGGTGGGCCAATGCTCCACTCCACAGTTTAGTGGTTTTCTGGGGAGACATAGATCCAGGCCAGGGTTTTTTGGACCGTCTCCAACCCACTGCGCAGCTGCAGTTAATCAGCTGTTGCAGTGGGAATAAGCTCCTCCCTGCTAGGCAGGTAATGGGGAGTGATTGCTGGCTTCCTCCGAGGAAGCAGGTAGGAGAGAGGCTGTTCTCTCCAGATAGAGAGTCAAGGAGACTAGGCACTGGGAGTGCAGAAAGGAAGCAGTCAAGGCTGGCTTGGAGCACTGGGAGAGCAGGAGGAAGCAGTTAAGGCTGGCTTGGAGCACTGGGAGTGCAGAAAGGAAAGCAGTCAGGGCAAGGCTGGCTTGGAGCACTGGGAGTGCAGAAAGGAAATCAGTCAGGGCAAGGCTGGCTTGGAGCACTGGGAGTGGAGAAAGGAAAGCAACAGGCTAGCTAGCAGAGTGTTGCTATCTAATAAGGTTGGTGCAATATATTTTGTTAGTTTAACCCTGATAGAGAGGGATATTCAAAGTGAGTCAGTGCTCAGACGAGCTAGGTTTTTGTTTAAAGGGAAACCTGTTATATTTATGTTTTCATTTGCTGCTGCCTCATATGTAAACTTACAAATAAAGTGCCTGGAATGAAGTTGCATTAAAAGACTGTGCATGTTTTTGCCCTAGAGGACCGTGCTACCTGCTGACAAGGATCACAATATGGTGGAGAATGCGGGTACAGTAGCACAGTGAGGGTCTGTGGGTGTGCCAGTCATCTGGTAGTCTGCTTGAGGACTTTTATTTTGGCAGACCTGCTAATCATATAAGTAGCACTGCACCTTTAAGACTGTTACCTGCTTGGTGCTATAATGGAGGACCTGCTGAAGGCTCTGGTACAGGCAACCACTGTACACAAGAGGCAACTGATATACAACAAAACACCAACCATTTCCTGGCTGCACAGATTAAGAACCTGAGGGATGCTCAGCAGGAGCACAGAGCTGCACTTACTGAGGTTTTGCAGATTGCCCCCTGCAGGGAGAGTGGGGACAAGGGACCCCGTAACCAAGCTACTGACATCCTGCATAAGATGACAGAGGCAGTAGAAGAAGTCTTTCGCAAGCTGAAAAGCATGGAGGCAACAAAGCGTGATGTTGAGAAACACACAGAAGAGAGAGAACCGGAATTAGAAGGCAATAAAGATAAAATTGAGCCTGAAAGCAGTGATAATGTGGAAGATGATGAAAAGGCAGTTGGATCATCCAAGGACCAAAAAGCAAAAGAAGAAAAGTTAGTAAAGAGTCCAGCAAAGCTAAAGGAAAAAGCGGAATTGCCAAGAGGCAGTGATGTTGACACTGATGACATGCGCCAGAGTAAGAAAGAGCAGAAGAATCAGAAGGGAGATCAAGACAAACTGATTACTGACGTTGACAAGTGTTTATTTGAAAATCAAAACATTGCAGCTTCACATGAAAGCCTCAAACTTGCTCGGAGTGGCATCACCACAGATGAAGAGGTCTTGGAAAAAGAGTCAGAAACAAAAATATTTTCACGCTCAGAAGCTGAAGCTTACATGTTTCAAGAGAATACTGGAAAGACATTAGAAAACAGAAAGGTGCTGATAAATCTTCCCGAGGCAACAAAAGGAGAAAAAAAGACTGTGGCTGAGGCCAGCAGTGTCAAGCCGGTTTGTGTAATAAAAAGTGAAGCAGAAGCCGCTGATGTTCACCCAAGTGAACAAGTTAAAGGCATGAAAAGCAGACTGACTTGGGGAGTCAGAGAAGACCACAGTGAAGGAGCTGAGCTCAATAGAGAGAAGCAAAGCACCCCAGTTGAGCTAAAAAATGCTGTGCACTGTATAGTAGCAGAGGCTACCCAAAAATGGCAATCAGCTGTTGGACAGCTTGGCAGAGAAAAGCAAGGCAGAGAAGCAGTGGCAAAACGAAGTCAAAATAAGAAAGGCAAAGTAGCCGCTTCTGATCTAAGCCAAGAGAGAGCGACAGTTACAGAACCAAGCTGTGATGATAAGATGGGCACGTCCGCAGCTAAGCCAGACCAAGGCGAACGTCACAAAGTAGGTGGCATTGGCATAGCAGAATTAAATATTTCAGAGACACCTGGTATAGCTACAAAGACTTTGAATGATTGTTTGGGAGCCGTAGAACTGGAACTGCTGGCAAAGACTACTGCTACAAGGCCTGGGCGCACTGACTACCTGGAACAGCTGCCAGATTCTGGGAACAAAGTCATGGAATTAAAGGCGGGACTCTGACTGCCTGATCGGCTGTTTGATACCGGGGCTGTCCTGACCCAGCGAGAGGCCATGACTGCGTCTCTGGACACCCCCAAGGGAGCAGGGAGACCGCCAGACTGCACAGAGGAAAGAATTGCTGACATTGAGAGGTGGCCACTCAAGGCAAAGGAAAGATGAGCTAAGCCGGGAGTCTGGACCTCCGACACAAGAACAGCGCTCCATGCCAGGCCAGGCCAAATGTGATGAGATGGAGCTGAGATCAAAGGCTGCATTCATGCAGGAGGAAGTTGCTCTAGATAGCCTCCCTGGCCAACCCCCTGAGGATATAGAGATGAGACCTGTAGCATTAACCGTAGAAACCAAGGAAGGTTCCCAGGGATTCACAGAACAGATGGAGGATGTTGTGAAGCCCTTCACGGAGGGACCGGTTCCAGTGGAGGATGAGCTGGTGACAGAACCAGGTCTTGAAGAGGTTGAGCACCCAGACAATTCAGCTCATGAAGGAATCATAAATGATATAGAAAAGATAGTTACACACAAAGCTTTTGTAAAGTTTGCATTTGAAAGTAACTCAGACATTGAGAAACTATCAAATCAGATGCTGCTGTGGATGTGGAAGCAGATGATGATTCAGAGGAACTTGGCTACTAAGGAACCACACAGTACTGATCTTCAGTCTAGATCCGCTAGCAACCAGATAAGCGGGGAAACTGGAAAGCAAGGACAAAGTCTGGGACAATATACCTATGATGGTAGAACGTACCTAAAAGTACCATTTTGGCTACGAGACCAGACTGAGAAAAACTGCTTCAACTGCCACATGCAAGGACATATTACATATAGCTGTCCTGAGAGTGAAGAGACAATACAATGTGACATAGTAATAAGGGCTCTGTATAGGATTGTATTGACTTGCTTAAAGATGTGTATGGTGACTGGTGGTGGTTTACAGCACAGCTAAAAGTGGTGATGGTGGTAGGGAAGAGTGCACAAGCACTAATTAATTCAGGGAGTGAGGCTACTTTGAAAAATGTTCTGCTCCAGCCAGAAAAATGTGATTTAAGACAAGTGATTGATATTGTGGGTACACATGGTGACAACCGCACATACCCCATGGCAGAGGTAGAGTTTGTCACAGAGTTAGTAAAAGTTAAATGCACTGTAGTACATGTAGCTCAAACGCAAGAGCGTATAAGTAAGGCCAGGT